ATAAAATTGTAGACTACAAGAGCAACACAAAAAAAAATCAGTTACATTTCTGTATATTAAGTATGCAAAAACTTATGCAAAAACTGAAATTAAACACACAATACCCTTTTTAAGTGCTCTAGAGAAAATGAAATACTTAGGTATGTATTTAACAAAACATGTATAGAATTTATGTGCTGGAAACGCAAAATGTTTATGAAAGAAATCCAACGAGACTTGAATAAATATTCAAGACATATTGGGTTCATAAATCGATAGTCTCAGCGTGTACTGTAGCCACACAGGTCGGTGGATCAGAAGAGAACAGCCAGAAGCCCACGCAAGTATGTTCAGCTGATTTTTGAAAAGGTGGAGCAGCAATCTGATGGAAGAAGAGTTTCTCAGCAAGTGGTGGGAGAGCAGCTGGACATCCTTGGGCAAAGCAAATCTATATCGAAATCGATTCAGAGGGAATCACAGATTTGAATGTAAGATACAAAACTATAAAACTTAGAAAAATTACTAAGGGAATATTTTTAGGGTACGAAGCTAGGCAGATAATTCTTGGGATTCAGACTAAAAACATGATCCATACAAGGAAAATTTGAGGAGTTGGACTTCCTCAGAATTAAAAATCTTTGCTGTGTAACTGTCTGTGTGAAGAGGGTGAAGGACAAGCTACAGGCTGGGAGAAAATATTTACAAATTACATGTGTACAAAGGACTAGTACATGGACCATAAAAAAGAACTGTTAATATATTGGGGACAAAATATAAAAGAAAAGCCCAAATTTGAAAATGGGAAGCATGAACAGATATTTCACCCAGGAGAATAAATACGAGGATGGGAGAAAGGACAGGACACCACGATCAGACCTGTCTGAACGGCTAAAATGAAAAGCAGTGACCCGGGGCTGGTGATGGTGAGACAGGGTCATTCCTACCTCGCTGGCATGACAGGGGACGTTGCTCACGTGCATGCTAATCTGGAAAGCTGTATGGCATTTCTTAGAAAACTTAGTGTGCAGTTGCATGTGTCCTAGCAGCCATACATGGACATTTATCCCAGAGAAAGGAAAACTGCATGTGAATATTCATAGACCCTTGGTTAATAGTCCTACCTAGACTCAACCCAGATGTCCACCAGCAAGCGAATGGTTAAGCAAACTGTGGTGCTTCTATACCGTGGGCTCCACCCCACAATAAAGGAAGCAAACCACAGGTGCAGGCATGGTGGACTTGCAGAGGAATCATGCTGCGTGAGTGAAGCTCTTCAGTGAGCTCTCCATTGCTGTAACAGACACCTGACAAATCAGTTTACAGAGAGAGGTTTGTTTCGGCTCATGGTCTCGGAGGGTTCAGTCCGAGACCACTTGGCCCTGTTGCTTTGGAGCTGTGATAGCTCATCATGGTGGGGACACATGGCAGACCCTTTAACACATGGGCTTAGGGGGACGTTCCAGATCCCGTCTGTAGCAGAATCCCATCCCAAAGGCTCACGGTGCGTGATTGCATGTATAGAATATGGCTGAAATGTAGAAGTGTTAGAAACAAGGTAAACTACTGGGTGATTGCCCTGGGCTGTTAGTGAGTGGTTGCCATGGGCAGTAGGGGTGGGGAGGACGTTTGTGTGGTTATGGAAGGGCACCACGGGGTCCTTCTGATGGTGGAACTGCTCGTTGTTGTCTGTGATGGTGAACAAACAAGCCTACAATGAGGATAATTTTTTTTGTACAAAAACCACTTATTATTCCCTCCCCCTCAAGCTGGATGACCGTATTCCAGGAATGAAAACAGATTAAAAGACACAGAAAGAAAAACTTGCCACTTATACTGAAACGTAACAGTATTGAATCCAGGTATTTTTTAGATTACCAGCATAGCAAAAAATATTTCCACCTGTATCTTTTTTTTTGTTTTGTTTTTTTTCCAGTACTGGGAATCAAACTCACGACCTTGTGCTTGCCAGGCAGGCGCTATGCCGCTGAGCTAAATCCCCAGCCCCTGTATGTTTTAAATTTGAAAGTGATCACATTAAAGACTGGCATTTAGGGCTGGGCATGGTGGCACATGCCTGCAATCCCAGCGCTCAGGAGGCTGAGGCAGGAGGATGATTGTGAGTTCGAGGCCAGCCTGGGCTACAAAGTGAGCTCAAGGCCAGCCTGATCTGCATAGTGAGACCCTGTCTCCAAAAGACAAAAAATAAAATAAAATAAAACAAAATAGTAATAAATACTAAAACAATGGTATGTGCATACACATTATATATGTACACTATAGTCTACATGTGGAAGAAATTGCAGAGGGGGTTATGTTTGAGTGAAGTTTTGTAAACCCAGTGGTCTACATAATTAACCAACCTCAGCACATCCAATGTACAGAAGAAACTCAAGATAACTGTTATAGAACCCCTGGTTAGGAGCAGAGGGTTATAGCTCTGTCAATGGCCAAGCATGCCCCTGACATGCATGAGGCCTCGGGCTTGGTCCTCAGCTCTGCAAAAACAAAAGAAAAAGAAGAGGAAGAGTGAGAGGGAGGGAGGAAGGCAGGGAAGAAGGGGGGAAAGAGAGGAAGGAAAACACTAAAAATAACTCCCCCTTAGGGGAGATTGGCTCTGTCCAGTGTACCCATGTCTCATGAGACAGGAGTAGTCTGACAGCTTGTGAACCCAATGGGCACCTGCCTATCACCTTTCCTCTCTGTGATGGGAGAATCAGACTGCCCATCAACCAGTCTGTCTGCCCCAGATTCGACCACCAGTGTGAATCTTCTGGGGACTTAGCCATGTCACTAAACCCAGAAGGCTGCATACAAATCTGTCATCAGCATTGTTGCCAACCTGAATTGTTTCCTGTGTGCCTCACATTGTTATAAGTAGTTGATCCTAATCTTCACCACCCCAGGAAAGAGCTACAGTCTTGCTCGAATGTTATTCCTAAAGAGCCTGGGCACAGAGCAGTAAAGGAACTTGTCTCAGGTCCTAGCTTAGGAAGGGCCGGCTTGAGATCCTGGTCCACCTTGACCTCCACACTGTCCTGCAAACAGAATCCATGAACCTGGAGCTCGCAGTTCTTCCCAGGGTTTCTCTCTGGCCTCATGAGGATGAACCTACATTTCTGTTTGGAGAAGAAGTCTTAAGAAAGGCCATGTCCCCCAAGGGAACCCATGTCTTCTGCTCAGTCCCTCTTGGATTCCAAGTTCTGATCTTTTCCTTGGGAACCAAGCTACAGAGGTCTGTGGCTGAGAACCTGACACTGCAGCTTGAATGTGACACCAGGAGTTTGGCTTCAAGTGAACAGCAGCTGGGGATGTATGTTATTAAGCAGGAGAGGCCCCTTGGGAACAGGAGTCCTTCCCAGGGTGCCCATATCAAGTGCTTTGGCCGGAGGGCTTAGATCACAGTAGCCAGGCATTATCCAAGGAGGCATTCACTGTGAAGGTGGTAATTATTTCTTGTCTGTAAAAAGAAGTTTATTTTAGTTTTAATCCATCTCACGGGTAGGTTGATCTAAGCAAAAGTATGAGAATTTTAAACAGACTTACTGCATTTGATATTGCTAGAATGGTTTCCTTACCTGAATGTCACAAAGACGTGTTATATTTAGAGAAATTTGGGGCTTTTCAGAGCATTAACACCCTGCTTCAGAGACCAAGAGACTAAGAAGCTGCTTTGGAGCTGTCTTTGGGGCTGCTTTCTTGCTGCTGGGACATAACACCCGACAGTTACAAGTTAAAGGAGAAGGGATTTATTTTGGCTCACAGTTTGTAGAGGCTTCAGTCCGTAGTCGGCGAGCTCCAAGGCAGGGCAGCATGGCAGAGGAGTGTGGCAGAGAAGAAACAGTCCATGGCAGGGCAGCAGGAAGCAGTGTTGAGGACCAAGGGAGTAGAAGGGCTACATGTGTGTATTTCCTTCCAGGCCTTGCCCACAATGACCCACCTCTTCCCACCAGGCTTCACCTCCCAGCATCATACCTGGCTCTAAGTCCAACAGTGGACCAACCTGGTATCACACACCTGTGATCCAGTCACCTTCCCCAGACCCCCACCTATGAGTACTTGAGGCTCGGGGGGGCATGTAGGTATGAGCTATAATAGGGACAGAGGTCACCCCTGTCACACCTGCAGCCTGCCTGCCTCTTGGCTCTGATAGGACGCTGTGAATGGTTTCCACTGCTTTTGGCTGGAATGTCTTAAACATATGGGAAGGTTCTGACAGAGAATGTTTTTTTCCAGACATTGAACAGCTGCTCCTGCCCACAGTTGCTCTGTTACTCTTTGTCTTTGCAAGTTGACCCTGGAAGGAGGTTGTGGCTGGAGGAGAGACAGTAAAAACCCAGGGCAGTCAGCTCTGGGAAGAGGGAGAAGGGCCGCGGGGGTGAAGTCTCTGCCTCCGGGCAGTTGTGATCACTCTCCTCGGTGTGTCCTCTGTGTGGCGTGGCCTAGAAAGTGTAAGGGTTGTCTTCGCTGTGAGTGTTGATAGCCTGGGGTTTACTGTTCACTCGGGTTCCTGAGCTTCAGTTTACCTGTTTCAGCGCCTAGCACAGTGCCCAGCGTGTTGCAGACACTCAACACCTGTCAACGAAAAGACCAAAAGTCAGAGGAGAAAAGCGGGATGACAAGTGCACGGAGTCCCGGGGACAGAGGCCTGTGTTGGGGTTTCTGAGATAAAGCTGGAGGATCCGCCTCCTGTCTTACCTTACACGCTGGCCCCAGGCTCCCTTCCATTCCTCTGCCACCAGCGGGGTGCCTTGCAGTTCACTGCAGAGGGAATGCAGAACCCTGGCTGGGGTTGAGAGCTCAGCACCCCGGTGCTGCCCCCTTTGCAGACTCAAGTGTCTGCATGTTCCCCGCCAGGCTCGCAGACTCCCTGAGCTGGGTTCCAGCCCTCACCCTGCCACTCGGTTGTTCCCTGTAGGAAAGTGAAGGAGCTATTTGCACACAGGCCGTGTGTTTGGTCTCCTGGGTTTATCTGCATTTCGCAGGCGGGCGTTCATTTCTCTCTGCGTCTGACCTCTTTCCAGGGAGGTTTCCCTGAAGGATGCGAAGGACTATGCCGAATCCATCGGCGCCATTGTGGTGGAGACAAGCGCCAAGAACGCTATTAACGTCGAGGAGCTCTTTCAAGGCATCAGTGAGTACCTGCGGCTGGGCTCGCAGCTTCGCTCGCGTTCTGATTCTTCAGGGAGTCGCAGGATGCAACAGCAGAGCTCTGAGGTAGAACTTTCCCTCTGTGTCCCTCTGACGCCCCGGATATAAAGCTCTGCACTTGACACTCACTTCCACTGTACTCTCAGGTCTGCGTTTCCGTCGTCCTGTGCTTTAACCTGTCCCTTCTGTGCTTTCTGAATTAAAATGAAATAATTCTCCTGCCAAAAATTAATTTAAAATGATGCCTTTTGTTTGTAGCATTTCCTGTTATCGTGCTGAGGGGAGGGGAGATGAAGTAGACGGTTCCAAGGGCAGCAGTTCAGAGTCACTCATCAGACGGGATAACCAGGAAACCTCTTAGTAGATGCCTTTGCCTGATGATCGTTCACTGAAAATATCGTCTCTGTCCCCGGCGACCTGAGGTTGGGAATGGGGCGGAAAGCCGATTTGGGAAGGTTTCCTCCTTGCTCTGCGCCAGTCCGGGGACAAGGACAGCTCCCTTCGCACAGCTCTGGGTCGCCTTGTGCTTCTCCCCCTGTGAGTGAGCCAGGCGGGGCACTGTGTCCTGGTGGACGTCCTCCCTGATGCGGCTGTGAGCATCCAGACCCTCCCTGTCCACCTGCACAAACTCTCTGGCGTGTGACTTTCTCCCGGAGAGCGTCCCGCTGAGGGTGTGCCCGGAGACAGCTGTGAGCCTCGTCCTTGGAAAGCGCCATCGGAGTGCGCGCGGGAGGCTGGGAGTGCAGGTGTTGGGTGGAATCCTGGGGACGCAGTGCAGGAGAAGTGGGACGCCTGAACAGTCAGCAGCTCTCCTCAGACAGCTTGGCGCTGAACAGTTCCAGAAAGGACCCTGGCACTTGCTGTCCTCCACCTGGGGTCATCATGGGCAGAGCTCCCGAGGCAGAACAGGCTTCCCTGCCCAGAACAGAGTTCATTTCAGTTCCACAGTTTTGGGGCCGTTCACTTAGACTCTGAGAACCCACATGAGGGAATCTTCTGCTGTGTGTTCATGCTGGCCTGATGGGGTTCACTGGAGAGGGGGCATTCTGACCTGTGTCACTTCTGCTGTGTGTCAGTGTGCAAAAGAAATGTGCAACTGTGCTGCTGAGCCTCCCCTGAAGCCCCTGGCCCTCCATCCCCCAGGGGTCCTCACTGCCTTCCCTCCCTTCCGCTGTCAGACAGATGTTTTTCCCGTCATTTCCGCCGTCAGCCGCACACCCGCAAGCCCGTTGTTCAGCGTGTTGGCCTCCGATTTTTCAGGCTGCAGTGCCGTGTCGCTGCCCCAGCCCCTCTGGCAGGGAGGGGGAGCAGGGGGAGCAAGGGCTCTCTGTCCTGCGTCTCTGGAGGACATCTCAGAATGCGGTAGGCACGTATTACGGGAGCCTGAGTCTCCCCAGAGCACAGGGATTCTTTTCTGGTGGCACTGGGCTCTTCTGGTGTGTTCTGCTGCTAAGCATTCTGTTTTTGGAGGGCGTTTTAATGAACAGTCCGCGTGTGTCACGCGGACACCTCTAGTTTCACAGCTTCTGTTGTTCTGTGGCGCCGAGGAAGCTCAGAGCTTTGTGTGTCCTAAATTCACCTTGAGATGTCTACACAAGCTCAGATTTTGTGAGCTGATGGAAGTCACTATGAAAATAACAAATAAGGGACCTAAAGAGATCAGCGAGCCCAAGCGTAAGTGTTAATATCATGAAAGATTTCTTTGTACAGTTCCTGTGCAGGAAGTCTTTCTGGCTGCAGCAATGGGGATTTGGAATAATTAACTGCTCAGATCCTGGTGGTCTACTTCATTTAGGAAAAAAACAAGTGTTTGGCTTAAAACCCAGAGTAATTGTGGCTGCAAAGTAATTAACTCCTATTAAGTCATAGACTACCTGTATTAATTACCTCATCTTCCGTGGCAAATGCACAATTGTTTCTGTTATTAGACTGTACTTACAATTGCTTTAACAAAGAGAGCTTGCAGAATCAGAGCCACGGCAGAATGTAGGCATCCGTCTCACTGTGGCTCCCTCTCTGGGTATCCATCTCTATGTATACCCACCTAGGCCTGTGGGTCTCAATCCATATCTATGTATACATCTGTCTGTGTATCCGTCCATCTTGTGACATATCTATATGTCTGTCTCCATCTCTCTGTATCCATTTATCTCTCTGTGTACCAACCCATCTCTCTGGGTATCCATCTATCTCTCTATGTACCCTTCTCTCTGGGTATCCATCTATCTCCCTATGTGTCCATCTCTCTGAGTATCATCCATCTCTCTAGATATCCAGCTGTCTTTCTATGTCTCTGTCTGTCTCTCTGTGTACCCACCCATCTCTCTGCATATCCATCTACCTCTCTGTGTCCATCTCTCATGTGTCCATCTATCTTTCTGGCTATCCATCCATCTCTTTGGGTATGTACCCATCTCTCTGTGTATCCCTCTATCTCTCTGTGTGTCCATCTCTCTGTGTGTCCATCTATCTCTCTGGGTATCCACCCATCTCTCTGGGTATCCAGCTCTTCCTCTGTCTCTATCTGTCTCTCTGTGTACCCATCCATCTCTCTGTGTGTCCATCTATGTGTCCATCTCTCTGGATATCCATCTGTCTCTCTCCATCTCTGCCCAGTTCTCACCTTCCTGCCTCTACTTGTGAGTGCTGGTGCCTTCCCTTTGCCTGTGCACCTTCAGGTGAATTTCTTCACAGGGGGAGTCAGCGGCCTAATTCCAGGTGAATTTGAAACACAGTTCCCAGTGCGCCTGAGCATACTGCAGCAGACTGTTCGTTTATTTGCCTTGTTCCTGTTCCTACTTGGATTACATGAGCTCCTCCCTGATCTTAAAATACATCTGGATATTGCTGACACCTGCACTCCCCAGAGTGCTGTTCCAGAGACGGACACGTCCAGGAGAAAAGATGCAGTGAGACATCTAGAACAAGTAGTAAGAATGCAAGCCTTTAGAAAGGTGTTCTTAGAGAAAATTAATTCACAGTGGTTTGGAAATGCTTCCTAGAGTGTTCATAAACCAGAAATGAGATAACTGTGCTTTCTGAACAGAGATAATACTGATGTACTTTCTAACTGGAAATTGTCAATATGGTTTTTTTGTTTTCTTGGGGTTTTTTTTTTTTTTTTTTTTCAGTGTTAGGATTGAACCAGGGCCTTTGCACTGAGCTACATCCCCAAGTACCCCACCCCCACTTTTTGAGACAAGGTCTTGCTAAATTTCCCAGGCTGGACTTGCAGTTGTCCTGCTTCAGCCTCTCAGAGTGTTGCTAGGATTACAGATGTGCATCAGCACAACTGACTAATATTATGTTTCTTTTAAATCTTAAACCTGCTGTATGAAGGATTTCGTTGCTACGCTATTATAAGTGGCCTTGCAGTCTGCCCTGTGTGGCATGTTGTCCCCCCTTTCCTAGGTCACAAGTTTGCACCCTCCTTACCCACTGCGTGGGCTGATTTCCTGTCATGCATTTCTCCCTAGGATGTGTTCATGTTTTTCCTTTGGGTTCTTCCACCTTGGATTTGAGCTTTAAAGATTTCTCTTTAGGTTGAATTATAAGAAGAAAAATTCTTGACCAAGAAAATAACTTTAATTTGAATTTTTAAAATCGGTATATGAGAACACAAAGAATACCTTGTTTCTGTTTATATACTGCAGAGTTCAAACCAAAACCAAAAGCGAACATGGTGCTGTATGCCTGTCCTCCCTGCACTCTGGGAGGCTGAGGCAAGAAGATCCCAAGCTGAAGCCCATAATGATGATTTAGTGACTTAGCAAGACTTGGTCTCAAAATAAAAAATAAATTTTAAAAAGGGATGGGACTGGACCTCAAAGAAAAGTCCCTTGGTGCAATACCAGTACTACCAAAAAAAAAAAAAAACAAAAAAACAAAAAAAAAAAAACAAAAGATCCTGATACCTTCCTGAGCACAGCTGCCTCTGCCCTGCTCTGTGTCGTAACCCCAAAGACAAGAGACGGCGCTGACCTCAGCGTCTGTTGCGGAGCCACCCTCACTCCACCACGCTGGCCGCCCGTCCCACGGAGGTTTCTCAGGTCCTGCTGCTGCCTTGCTTTGAGCTGCTGGGGCTGGGCTCTACCATGCTGACCTGTGGGGGTCTCAGCCTCCATGCGACTCTGCAGGTGCTTTGGGTCACAGATGCTTTTCTGGGAAATGTGACTTCTGCACAGCAGGTGGCTGTGTCTTTTGGGGCCTCCCTAAACTGGGGACAGAGAGCTGGCCAGGCGCCAAGCCTGGCCTTTGACCGGGGGTCTCTGCCCTTCTGTCCCGTTTTGGGGTAGCAGTGCAGTGACTTGGGATCGTGTGACTTGTACGGCTGTCTGTGCAGACTTAAGGTTGAGTGACACCCGCAAATTGGACAAAGCTGGCTTCTGTTGATTTGTGTATCCCACAAATACCTACAGTGTTCTCCAAGACACGTGGTGGGGCCAGGGCGGCGACGGCAGGCAGAGGCGGGTCGGTGCATGGCCCCAGTGGTTGCAAATGATGCCGACTAGACCCGGACTGGGAGAGATGCGGACAGATGGGACTTAGGGTCGCGGGTGGGTCCCCAAGGAAGCACTTGACCCTGAAACTGAAAAGCGCAGGAAGGCTGGTTGGACAAAGAGCTCAAGAAGAGCTTCCAGGCAGAGCGGACCCTAGGAGCGCAGACCTTGAGGCAGGAAATGATGGGGTGAGAAGGTGAGAGAGGGAGGGGGAGGCGCTTACAGAGCTGGGAAGAAGGGGTGAGGTTCTGGTCAGTGCGGAGCAGGGGATTTACAGGAGGGGCCGGGTGCACCAGGCTCCGTGGGTGGGATGCGGCTGGAGTGGGGCGGGTTTCAGAAATCTTTGGAAGAACATGGAGTGCTCCCCAGCATAGGGCGCAGCTTGGGAGGGGAGTGCTGTGGCCTCCGAGGGAGGGTGGTGCCCAGACTCTTTCCATCCCCTGGGGCTGGACTAGCTTGGACCTTGCTGATAGGGTTCCAGGGAGTGAGCAGCCACAGCTTTGGTTTGTGACATCTATCCACTGTGGGTTTGCTTTGTTTTATTTTGAACTCTCCCCGAGGGCAGGAGAGGTAGAGCTGCAGGCCAGGCAGGAAGAGCCTGGATTGGGGTCGGACCCACTGCGACTCAGGTCTCTGCCCAACACTGTTCATTGTAGAGAAGGTGAGAGCTGGGAGTGATGGCGCACGCCTGTAATCCCAGCACTCGGGAGGCTGAGGCAGGAGGATCCTTGCGAGTTCGAGACCAGCCTGGGCTACAAAGTGCGCTCAAGGCCAGCTCAGGCAAAAAACAAAAAAACAAACGAAAAAACTGTAGAGAAGGTGAGAGTAAGGCTTTCTCTTAGAGAAAGTGAGCTAGGAGACATTCGAGGGTGTTGGCCTTGATTTTTGGTTTTTCTTGCTAGTTTGAGAATGGGGCGGGGATGTTTGTTTGAAAAGAATTAATACTATTGGAGTCCCAAGCATGTTAGCTTAGAAAAATTTGAATGGGGTGTTCTTATAAAAAATAAGAAGCCAGGACTCAGCGCCCGCGTGGTGTCTTGCTCTGTGAGGATTTGGCTATTTTAAGTCCACCGGATTTTTGTAATTCCCTAGGTAGTTACTTAGGTTTGGGGCACATTAAAGAAAGTTGAAAGCCAAACAAATCCTTGGCCAATTTTCAGAATGGTACAGCCAGCTTCAAATGAGGATTAGTGCAGCAGTAAGGGACAGGGAAAGAAAAGGGGCCTTTTGCTTCCCTGCCACCCAGGGGTGTCTGTGAGATGAGTCAGAGCAGGAAATGAGGGGGATGCCGGAGCTCCAAACGGGCCGGCCTCTGTCTCAGCAGTTCTCGTTTTGTTTTGGTTTGGTTTGGTTTGGTTTTCGTTTTTTTGAGACAGGGCCTCACTATGTAGCTCAGGCCGACCTCAAACTCATGGCTGTCCTCCTGCCTCAGCCTCTTGCCTGCTGGGATTTCAGGCGTGCACCACCATGCCTAGCTTATCTCAGCAGTTCTTAAAAGACAGTGGTCAGGTGTGCAAGACACCACACAGTTGTCCCTTTGTGTCCAGGGGCACAAGTTCCTGGGCAACAAAGTCAGAGGCTGCTCAAGGTCCTTACATGAAATGGTATTATATTTGCGTCTGGACAGAAGCCTGGCAACGGCGCACGCCGAGGGCCGCTGTCACAGCCGCTTCCTGTGCAAAGAGCTCTCGTTCTGCGCGTTGTTACAGTTGTTGCCACGTGTGTTAACTCGTGAGTGCACCATTTATCCTGGGGAACAGGCACTGCTGTCATCCCTTTTCCCCGGCGGGGAAACAGGTGTGAAAGGCTTGTCACTCGCCCCGGGCCGCATGTGGAGCAAGGGAGAGGCGGCCCGGAAAAGCGGACCAGGCTTTGGCAGCCATGCCCCCCGCTTTCTGTCCCTGTCACAGCTCACTGTGCTCAGCACTCTGGGGCAACCTTCACCCCAGAGGAAAACAAGAAGTGACTGAACCTTCCAGAAGTTGGGAAAAAATCAGAGCACACCAATATAAACAAGGGACGAGAAACGATCATGTAAATCTCTGCTTAGTGACCTAAAAAGACAAATCATTGCATGTGAAACAAAAGTTACAGAGTACTTTATACACTATCCCATTCATACAATATCAGCCATATAAAGGTTTTTTTGGTTTTTTTTTTTTGGTTTTTCTCCGGTACCGGGAACCGAACTCACGACCTTGCGCTTGCCAGGCAGGCGCTTTTGCCGCTGAGCTAAATCCCCAGCCCTAATGTCAGCCATATAATATAGTAATCATTAATATATTCTTCCAAGATGCTATCTTGCTTGGAAGGTTACACAGTAAAATGTGAACAGTGGTTGTTTCATGATATTGGGGTTTCAGGAACTCTGAACAAAGAAGTTTACTCTGGAAGATGCCAAGTGTACTGTGCACAGGCGCGTGAAGAATCGCGGTGTATCAGGACCCAGCTCGCTTCCTCTCTACCCTAAACTTCTCCAGCCTCAGTTGTTTTGAAGGAGATCGCGTATCACTTCATTTCATCTGTAACGCTCTCCATCTGTAGCTTGTTTTCCATAATGACAATTATATTATCACATGAATGATGCTGTTATCATATGAATTGTGTAATATTTCCAAATATCCAGTCAGTGGTCAAACGTTCAAATGGCTTATAATTGTCACAACTGGTTTGGTTGAATTTTCCAGTTTGTTTGAATCATGATACAAGTAATTTCCAGATGCTGTGATTAGTTATGTCTTTTTAGTGTCTCTCTCTCTTTTTTTTTAGGCGAGGTCTTGCTATGTAGTTCAGGCTGGCCTTGAACTTGGGGTGATCCTCCTGCCTCAGCTTCCCAAGTGCCTGTGTCCTGGAACTTCGCAATTAACAGATCACACCCACTTTCCAGCCAGCCTGCCATGCTCTGATCTCCTGTTTTATCTCCCCGGCCTTGGCTGTCTCATTTCCAGTCCCTCGGCACACCTGCCCTGGGCCTCCCACAGCATCTGTCTGTCTCTGCTTCCTGCTCCCCCGCTCACGTTCTTGGGTCCTCTGTAGCAGTGTCTCTTTCTTGTCTCCAGACCATTTTCCCTAGTGGTAGAGTCTTCTAGTAATTCCACTTGGTCTTCACGGCGGCCAGAGGGCCACTGCAGGACACGGCCCTGTGACCTGTGTGCCCACCTGTCTACTTCCCTAGGGCAGTCAGCTCTCTCCTGTCCTCCTCCTGGCTGAGGAGAGGGAGGCGCAGAGGCCTGAGGCAAGTGCTCCAAGTCCACTGAGCTGAACCCCTGAATCTCCGCCTCAGAACTCTCTCTGCGAAGAAGAAAGTGGAGTCCTCACGGAACCATGCTAATTCTGTCTTTGAGAAACACGGTCACCTTTGCTTTTCTGTGGTGCCCACTGCCCGCTGTCCACCTTTGTCTGAAAATACCAAATGGAGAGCAGTAAAGAGAGAGATTCATGTTTTAATAACTGTTGATACAGCATATTGTTGTAACTGTTCTACTTGAGTATTAGTTACTATTATTAATCTTGTAGTGCCTGATTAATAAACTATCGCAGGCGTGTATGGGTAGAATAAAGCACAGTGTCTGTGGGGTTTGGCACCGGCCCCAGCTCCTGGCACTCACTGTGGACAAGGGGTGACTGTATTCTATTCTCAGAGGTGTGATTTTGATTATTCTGAAGATAGAAGAACCTAGTGCGTAAGAAGTCAGGTTCAACATGGACTGGAGAACATAGGTAGCCAGCCACTCAGGACATAGGACAAGGTAGCGTTCCAGGCACTGTGGATCTGACATATCTGAAAAAAGAGGCTAGGAAGGGTAGGAAGGGCAGCCGGTCCCCCACATCCCTGCCAGCTATTTGTGCTCAAAGTACGTATTTCTTTCTGTATTTTGAGGTATTTTTAATAGGAAAAAAGTATGAAAAGACTTGAGACATGTGAAGTATGTCCTGCAGAGGAAGCTGAAAGGCCAGAGCTGTTTAGAATTCACATGGGAACAGCACAAGCTTGACGCTAGTGTGGGATATTGATTCTGTTATTGTCACAAAAGCTAATATTTCAGCTCTTTCTATGAGCAGCAAACAGGTCTTGTCTTTTACGCTAACAAGGGCAACAGCTTGTGCCAATCAGAATGATAATTGTGTCCAACAGTCTTTCAGCTGCAAAAGCTGAAGCTCCTGCTGCAGCCCCAGTACACTCAGAAGCCACCTAAAGTAGTATTAATTTAAGTAAGTGTCTTGGTTACTTTGCTCTTGTTGCTGGGACAAAATACTTGACACCCAAAATTAAGGAAAGAAAGGTTTATTTAGCTCACAGTTTGTGGAGGTTTCAGTCCATACTGGGCTGGTTCCAAGGCAGAGTGGCACCCGGCAGAGGGCAAGTGTTCATGGTGGCGGAATACAGCAAAAATCACAAGTGCAAGAGGGAGGAATGGCGGCAAGCAGCCTCTTTCCCTCCCTTACACTGTATGCAAACTACCTGCCCCAGGGCAGGTGTAGCTCCCACACCTATAATCCCAGCATTAGACTGTGGATCAATCAAAAATCTAGAAGCCCGCCCCCATGACTGCATGAGGCTTTGGGGGGACATGCAGGCACAAACCATAGCAGTAAGGATGCAGTGTGACACGAGCATCCTCCAACAGCACATGGCTTTCTCTTGGGGAGGAGGTAGCGCCCACTGGCAGCAAGATGTCACTTGAGTAAACCTTTAAAGAGGTCTGGTAGTCATTGGGAATTTTCTTTCCTCCCTGTCACTGGAGGCTAACAAAGTAGAAGAGGCATTTTTGTTTACATCCTTTAAACTGTGACTGATAAAATCCAGCATGTCCAGAAGAGGGAAGAGCATCTTCTTGTGCATTTTAGTCCTGGGAACTGTTTCCAGAATGGCCTGAAAATCTGGGCGGAGCTGCATTGGCTGTTAGGAGACGACAGAAGCGACAGCTGCAGAAAGTATTACAGAATTCTCCTCTGCCCCATGAGTAATCAGATACAGCCTTGAACGTCAGTGGCCTTGCTTGTCATGCTTGAGCTTTGATGCATATCCAGGCTGTACAGCGCATGAGCACCTTAGAGCTCAGCTCTTAGTGTCTCCTGAACAGAGCACCCCTGCCCGGGTCTTTTGGGGTCTTTTGGATCACAGGATGGTCCTTGAGTGGCATCTATTTGCGTAGAAGACTCTGGTTTAGGAACCAATTTCCTTTCCACTTATATGTCCTGGTTACCTAGTAAACGAAGGGCTGTCTAAGCAGGCCTTTCAAGCCCTCGCTTTAGAGCTAGCTTTTCATGCCATCTGTAGGGGTGATAGAAAAACCAAACAGAGTGACGGTGTGACAGAGTGGAGAACACAGGCTTTGCAGTCCATCAGAATGTCCGGATGTGGGTCATAATCAGATGCCCCCCCCCTCGCCCCCGTCCTGGTTATTATTGACAGCTGTCGGCAAATAGCCCACGTTCTCTGAGTCACAGTAAAACAATGATAATAACGGCAGTACACCAATTTCACAGGGTTAGTTGGGGACTGCCTCTGTGAAAATCTTTGAAGACTGTGAGGTTGTACAAGGTTGTTATTGCCAGATTCTAGTGCCCACCCCCCGCCAAAAAAAAGCTCATTGAGAAGAAATTCACCTGTCTCCGGGGCGCAACGCAGGGATCTTTGGTTTATTGGCAGATACGTAAGACCGGCTGCGCAGCCCGGTGGAAAGTGCTTTCATGGTCTCAAAAAGCAGCCCACACCCCTTAGCTACCACTTCCCTGGCCCCTTCCCTCGCATTTCCAGTTTTACTTTGTGTTTCTTTTTAAAGTAAATTAAGTAGAAATAAGATCAAGTAAGTCGAATAAGATCGAATAAATCCTATTTCCTATGCAGAGTATCTCTGCAGGGCTTTTAGTCAGTGAGCTCCTGGCGTTGGCAGGAGAGGGATGGTGAGCTAAGTGTTAAGCACCGCCTTACTACGGAGAGCGGATCCCAGGCTGCTTCTATTCTGGGAAGCCGAATACACAGATGAGTCCCGGATGTTGCTGCCAGGTCGGGTCACAAAGGCGGATGGGTGGTGGGAAGGGGAGTGGGGTGAGCTGAGGGGCAGGGAGGGTGGGCAGGGCATCACTGTGGTCTGGAAGCAGCTGGTATTTCCCTTAGGTTTCTAGATGTGGATTTTTTTCTTCATATGGCAGAGCGGGGCTAGGAGGGAACGGGGGAGGGAAAGACGGGGAGAGAAGGAGAAAAGGCACAAGGAAGGTGCTGTATTCCGTGGGACCCACCATCAAGTGGCCGAGTGCAGTGGTGGCGGGAAGAAGGACTCAACCTCACCCCTTTCTGTCGCAGGTCGCCAGATCCCGCCCCTGGACCCCCACGAGAAGGGCAACAATGGGGTGATCTGCATCCACGGCGGGAAGCCACCGGCACAGACCCGGCGGTGCTGTTGACCGGGCGCCCAGGGCGCTGCCACCGCAGGACCCGCACCCGTGCTCCGGGGTGAGGCACAGGCCTCGCTCCTGAGGCTGCGGGGAACGGGCAGGATGGGCCCCCGAGAGGGCGCGGAGAGACCCGGGGAGCACACAGCCGCGGCGTGCCCTGTGGTGCGCGGGCGCCAGCGGGGTTGTGCTCGCTGGGTAACAGCTGCAGTTGCCCTTTTTGCTAAGCGTATTAGAACACTGTTGGGTTTGTCCACAAGTCTTGAGTACTGTTCCTCCTCTGAGTCCTGTGTCACCTGGCTGGATTCTAGTAACTTCTTCCGTGTTGTGCCTGCCTTACCGGACCGGCCTTCACCGAAAGGCGAATTTAATACAGAAGATCAGATTCCCACTGGTGTGGGAAATAAGCCTCTATTTATTACTGTTCTGAGGGAAGCCAGAGAAGCTGGAGCTTCGTGCAAGGACCGCCATTCAAGCTGAGGCCTGCGCTGCTCGAGAAGAGGAGAAAAGTGTCTGAAAAGCTTACCATCTGCATCCCTTCCAAATTAACGGGTGATCATTTTTCTTTTTTTTTTTTTTTTTTTTTTGGTTTTTCTCCGGTACCGGAAACTGAACTCACGACCTTGCACTTGCCAGGCAGGCGCTTTTGCCGCTGAGCTAAATCCCCAGCCCCTGGGTGATCATTTTTCTAAGTTTTGGTCAGATGTAAACAAACAGGCCCATGTACACCACAATACGGCATATGACTCGTGGGGCGGGAGGCCCAGTTTGAAAAGTGCTACTAAATTGTCACTATGTGGGCAGGGGGTGCTGGAGCACATAAACTTTTAAAGGATCGCCCCCCACACATCACCCACATGACAATAAATTCCTACACTCTTAGGGATGGTCAGTGCATGCAGTATTATTTCCTAAGAATGTGCCACAGTGTCGTATCTAGGGAAAGAAATGGCTAGAGAATGCTTTGAGTCTAAATTCTAATAATAATAATAACTAACCATAGGTTACAGCAAAGCCAGACAAAGGAAGTGTTGTTGGGCTTGGGGACAGTCACATGGCCGAGCAGAGGGCCACCAGCAGGGCCTGCCCGGGGCCTGAGGGTGGGCTCCAAGGAAGACTTTCCCATTCAGATTCCCTATCTGCTCAGCTAAAGATGTCTGAATCCCAAGGAGGGAAAGGAAAGAAAGATAGAGAGGAATAAAAGTTATTTCTGCCCAAAATGCAAGTCCCATTGCCATTCTGGCTTTCATAAGAACTTGGGATCAAGAAGGATCCAGGCCTTGGCTGGGCCGGCACACAGCCTCCGAGGTGGGTCATGGCACAGTGTACCCGCAAGCGCCAGCTGGTGCCTTCTTCACCGTGAACCTTCCAGGGCCAGTGAACATTAGTGGACAGCTCACCGTGTGAATACCAGGAGGGAGGCCGTGAGCTGGTTGAGGGCCTTGAGCTGTCTGTGAGGACCCAGTACGAGCTGGTGTTGTAGGAGCCAGTGCCCCCAAGCTCTCACAGGCAAGACAGAGTCGTGGCTTCTACAGATAGGAAGGAGGAACTGGAGTGCCAGAGGGCCACGTTTTTGCTTGCTCTACGTTGATTATAAGCAGCGAAACACGGCCAGGTTCTCATCACACTTTTTTTCTACTCAAGGATGTGCTGTCGATTTGAGTTCTTATTTGCCCACTTTGGAGAGGTGATTGACAGCCTTAGAATATGAAGGCCAGAAGACACTTAGTTTGGTTTCAAGAGTGTCACTTGGCTCCCCCAGGTAGCCCAGGACCAGCTAGTGACATTTGGATGTCTTGGCAAGGCCTTTGCAGAGATTGTCAGAGTTCTTTTCCACGTTGCCAATAATCCTGCCTGGCATGCTTTTGTCGCAGGCCCGGAAATGACCATACCTCTTGCTAGAGGGGAGAAAATTGAACACTGACGTGCCCTCCTTGCCGGTGTCGTACGGGCCTGTTTCAGCCTTTCCTCAGGCTGCTTTCCTTGAGCACTTTGGTTTCTCTCTAGCCAGCAGCTCAGGTTTCTGAGCTAAGCCAGGTCATACCCCAGCAGAGAGTGCGGCAGCTTTAACTGTGTGGGCAGTGGTTGTATTTTGCATAAACTGTCCAGTCTTAACTACATATGGGGTCTGCCCACTAATGAGCCCCTGGTTGTATTTCGGCAGCAGGCAAGGGGGTGAACCATTGTCTTACCATTCTATATTGCCTTAGCCACTGAAGCCAATCAAAAGACCGAATATCTATATCATCACCACTCAGAGCAACCAGCAAGGAGAGCGGGTGGAACTTGGGCACACAAGTCTTCACATAGACGCGAATCTCCTCCAAAGACAGACGCTCGACCTTGTCCATGATGAGGCCTCCTACCCGTTCTTATTTGGGCTTGGAATTACTTTCTGGCTATTCTAATCATTGGCGCACAACCACATAATAGTATGTATGCCTGGAAATTACCATTGCTCCAAAATGTCAAGTATTTTATGTAATATAGCATCCCTGACATCATCTCCCAATATTGGCCCCTGTTCTCCTTTTCTGTCATGTGGGGATGTGTGTCTGCATGTGTAAATATGACTGTCTGCTGGTTACGCTAACATGTAATCTGTTTCAGTCTGGCTGAGTTTGGCTTTTGGCCATGTTCTGTAGGAAAAGCATGGGTTCTCGGAGGTGCTGCTTCCCAGTGGAATTCCCTAGAACTGGGAGTGAGACATGCAAACCTTTTACATATGGACAGTATTGACTTGCCGTTTTATGGCATGAAATGGCACATTAGGGTGCTGACTATGACGCTACCTTGCAGACTAACAGGTTGAAGACCTAGAGCTGAGTTCTATCCTATAATATGGGCTGTGCCCCACTGGAAACCTAGTGCCTTTAATGAGGGAGGCTTGGATGACAAGGGATAGCCTCTGTAGTCGAGGACCATGGCACGTGGTGGCTGAGCAGAGTGCCTGTGTGGGGACTTTCCCCTCAGCGGCTTTGACATACCTGACACGGTGTGTGGTGAGCAAGCTCTTACCCTGAAGGGCTCAGGACTGCACTCAGACCTCACAGGTGTCTAGATCACCCTTCGGCATCACCCAGTGATCCAGTGGCAGTGCTCTCTCTGTGTGCAGACTGCCACCTTTCCTGGTGTTCTGTAAAGGGCTTCTGTCTGGGCTGGACCCAGTTCTTACATTTAGAAGATGCCACTGCAGACACCAGGGACCTTTGTACCTTTTATTCTATTCTGTAGTAGAACATTTCCCTCAGCAATGACCATTTGTATCTATTGTTTTTGTTTTAACGCACACTGATTCATATTAATAAATATTTTAAATTTTACCAAGTTTGTCTTTGTCTTATTATAATGTTTGGTAGACTAATTTTTTAGAACTTGCAGTCAATTTGGAATAGAGTGGTAAATCTCCAGAGAAACATACATACCTGTGCATGGAGCATATGTAAGGTGCTCGCTGATGCACTGTTTGCCCACTAAGGAAATAAATAAAGTGTGGTGCAGTCACACAATGAGAGCTTTGGGGTAATTCAAATGAACGCATCATCTGAAACGCATCATTATGCACCTGAGAAACACAGTGTGGAATGCAAAACTTCCATCCCACTCCCCAAGGGAGCCGTGCGCATGGTAGCCTATGTAGCTGTGTTAGGCAGCTTTCCTGCTTCTAATACAAAACACCCCACACCTGCACCTTAAAGGAGGAGGGGTTTCATTTGGCTTACGGTTTCAGAAGATTCAGTCCATGGTCTGCCGTCTACAAGACAGAAACCTCATAGTGAAAGGGTATGGCACAGCAAAGATGCTTAGTTCATGGTGGCAAGAAAGCAGTGTAAAGAAAGAGCCTCACAGAAGAGGGGACCAGGGACCAGACATGGACCCCAAGGTCACACCTGCATAACCCACCCAGAAGTGTGCTTTACTCTTCCCCTAAGCAGCCCCCCAAACAAGTTGACAGTTAGGCTTAAACATCACATTCCACCCCTTGTTGACTTCACATCCAAACACATCTTAATCTATAATCAATCTCCAAAAGAGATGGTAACAGTGTAGGTGTGGTGGCACATGCATGTAATCCCAGAACTCTGAGAGGCTGAATCAGGAAGACTGCTAGTTTGAGCCCAGCCTGAGCAACTCAGTGACATCTTGTCTCCAAAAACAAAAAAGGACTGGGAACGTAGCTCAGTGTGAAGGCCCTGGACTCAGTCCCAGCATGGGTGGAGGGTTCATAGTCCTACCTGATATGATAAAAGTATCTTTCATCCAACCAAAAACACAATAATTCTTTCTCTGAAATCTCAACATTTCCAGCATTGCTCAAAAGTCCAAGCCAAAAATCTCTGAGATTTAAGACAAACTCTTAGGTATAAACCCCTATAACAAAAAAGCAGTTACTGTACATTATCCTGAGATCAATGGCACAGAATAAATACTCCCATTCCAAAAGGAGGATAATAGAGGGATAGAAAAGAATCAAACCAAAAGAAGACCAAAACCTACAAGTGTTAATGACTAAAACATTAAAGTCAGAAGCTCCATATCTGGCATCTGGGGGACATGGTGGTAAAACATGAGCCTTAAAGGGCTTGGGTGGCCCTACCCCTATGTTGCAGCCCATATGACCTCTCTCTTGGGATGGCTGGTTTTGTTTGGTGCCTGTGGCTTTTTTGCAGCAGATGTCTCGTGTTCCTAGCATCTCTAACTTCCTGGGGTCCGCATTACACCTTTGGCCTCGTTTCCACAACTTCAGGCACCTTCTTTCAAGGGCATATTGCCTGGTCATCCAGGCCTTCCTTCAAAGTCCTGGTGGAAGCCTCCCTGGCTACACAGTTCTTGCATTCTCTGTAACCATATAACCAGCATCACATCAATGATGCCAAAGTTTGCTGCCTGGTCAAGCAGTAGCCAGACTGGTACTCACATTACAGCCTAAACATTGAGCTGCCTTGAAATTTACTTCACCATATTGATTAGTTCATCACCCTGAAAATAAGCCTCTCTCAAAGTCTCAGGACATAAACAAAATGCAGATTTTTTTTTTTTTTTGCCAGCCTGTGACTTACATGGCTTCCTGTTCAATTCCCAATAGAGTTCTCATTCCCAACTGAAACCTTCTGAGCCTGGCCTTTATTGTCTGCATTCCCATCACAATTCTGGTCTTCTAGGCCCTGACTAGAATGACCCATCAGGACCTGATTATACCATTGTAGGGCTTCTCTAGCCCGCATCTCCAAACCTTTCTAAACATCTGCAAACCAGTTG